GGAAGAGGTGGAGCCGAAGGTGGAAGGGGCCGAGCTGAGGGGAGCTGGCTCTCAGCACCGCCCAGACTGGGGTGAGACCCCTCCCCAACCCTCAGAGCCACGTGGAGGGGCGCTATGGTGGCTATTCACAGGGGCCTGGGGCTGGCTGTTGCTGCAATAGCAGCGGCAGCAGCCAGGAGCTCCAGGATCCTTTGAATCTCCAGGGCTTGGGGCAACTGCCCCTTTGTCCAGCCCGGCAGCACCCCCCAGCCCTGCTCGTGAGCTGTTTGGCAGCTGGGGGAGGGGCTTAGGTGAGGGCAGTGAGCAACTAGTGGCAGGCGGGCAGGGACCTCGAGGGAGGTGAAGGAGCAGGCTTGGAGCACCCTGAAGGAAAAATAAAGCACCTGTGTGTGCGGGCCCTGGCTGCACTGCACATCAGCGCCGCCCCCCTCCCACCTGGGCTTGTGGGAACGCCGCAGGGCTCTGCCCTGGGACAATGGCATAAGCCTGTATGGGGCATGGCCCCCATAGGCCAAGCCTGGAGGGTTGGGATCTTGCTCCCACGCCCATGCTGTCAAGGGGAGGCCAGCTTTTCCATGCCTCGGAGGGCAGCTTGAGCCCTGTGGATCCAGTCCCATAGGGCTGGGCAGCCTGCGAGGAGCAGGGCAGCTGTAACACAGGAAGCTGGTGTGTGGAATAACAGCTGGTAGGGGAGTGACAGAAGCCCCACAAGCCCAGCAGCTCCAGCCCTCTGCAGCACGGGCCTAGTGGAAGCCCAGCTTGGCACGGCTCAGCTTGGAAACGGGCCATGGGTAGGGTTGCCAGGTGTCCCGTAGTGACCCGGACAGTCCAGTATTTTCACCTGTCTGGTAAAAAAAATTCAGAAAATACCGGACACATAAAATGTCAGGTATTTTCTGGTTTTTTCCTGGCCCGGAGGCGAAATTCCCAGGTGCTCACTGGGTTCTGCAGGGGAGCTGTCTGGCCCAGAGCAGGGAGGCAAGATGACAGACGGCTGCCAGCAGTCTGTTAGGGCCAAAAAGCCTCAAAAGCATTTCTTAAAGGGGCCACACTGTTTTTTTTATTTTGGTCTCCCCCGTTCTTCCTCAACAGAATTTTTTCCCCAGTGGGGTTTTTTTTGGGGGGGGGAAGAGGGGGGGGTTGCATTTGGTATTTTTGGTTAAACCATCTGGCAACCCTAGCCATGGGGCCTGCTCTGGCACCTGTAGCAGGGAATATGGCCAGGCCTGGGCACGGGGGAATGACTCAACATTGAGTGTAAAGCAGTGAAGTACATGGTGCTTATGGCCATCACACCCAGCAACAGACCCTGCTCTGCAGCCACAGCCCCACCCTTTAGCCACACACGCAGCCTGCTTAGCTGTCTGTCACTGCAGCAGTGACACTCAGGTCCTAGAGCTGGGTAGCTGCAGCCAGACAGGCTACATGGAGCATGTGATGCAGCCAAGTCATAGACGAGCCCATCCACTGAGGCAGCTTTTCAGTCCCTTTACGACATGTGCCCCATCCGCTGCCTCCTGAACTTCTAAACCTGCCACTCAGCCTTGCCCTGCTGGCTGACGCGTCCCATTGAGACTGAAAATACACAAACCCTTCTGCCACTGGAGCCAGCAGACACTGTTTACCTAGGCCCTATGTTTTGCTAGTCTGCAGCCACCAGGGGCCGCCCTGTGCCCACCTACTGTCCCACTGCCCTGGCCCGCGGGAGCGAGTTGCTACTGGAATTGCAGGGTTAGTTAGCCTATCACTGGAGACATTCAAAAATGGATATAAAAAACAAAAAAATCCCCAAGTCCACTCAGCGATAGTGAGCTGAGCAGACAGCAAAGGGAAACATGTAAAACTCCTTGTGAGCCCTTGACAGCTGCCTTTGTCAGGTTATTTATACTGGCATGAGTTGTAGTTGTGTGCCCTTGTTTAAAACCCACGTGGCGGGAAAGAAGGAGGGGATGGGCTACATATGCAAACCCAATGGGCCTTAATGGCTATTGCAATTGCTTGTCTCACATCTCCCACCAGTTGTCCTTCCCGTTAGAGGGTCCATTCCCCCTCACCAGCTGGGCTCAGACGTCCCCTGGTGCCTGTCAACATCGACCATTCTGCTACAAGTGTGATGTGCTAGACAGGTGAACTGGAAACAACAGCCGTGCATCAATCACAGGGCAACATGCATGCCTGTTTCACCATGCACGGTAGCCGAGTACTCGCAAGAGGTGCGGGCACCTGTCCTGGTGGATATTCCCCCACCCTCCTCGCACCTCCTGCCACCCAGCCTAGTGCCACCAGCTATGATGGGGAAGTACCTCTGATACTTCGCTAGCAGGTGGCCTGAGCTGGCAAGACCGCCAGCCCCAGAGGCTGTGGGGACATAAAAGGAAAAGAAGATTCTTTTTAGACAGTGACCTCAGTCTTGCTATTGGTGGAGAAGGGCCGTGGGGACTGGACATAGTGGGTGGGTGTCTGGCTGAAGACCTCCGGCAGCTTCTCAACGCTGAACTGGCGCTTGTTGGCATAGACCTGTCGACGGACATCAGGGGGGTGGTGATGGCTGGGGTCCCAGCCTCCCTTGAAGGCAGGGCTGGACACTAGTGGGTGGGCGTTGGTTTTCACCACTTTGGCCTTCTGCCCAGGTGTAGCCAAGCCAACCAAAGGGCAACCGTCGTGCAGGGGAGGCATGTCCTTCTGATGCAGCCCCATGGGCGGGAAGGACAGAGTGCCCGGCGGAGGCATGTCCACCATGGGAAACCGCTTGTAGAATTCTTCAGGTGCGCTCTCTGTAGGGGAAAAATTGAACAAAATGCAGAAAGTCAGATAAACAGGGGGAACCTCCCCTCTCCCCACCCACCTCTACAGAAACCTTCCACTTCTCTGCTGGCCAGGATGGCTCTTCTCTGTGCATGTCCCTGCCTCCCCCCAACATGGGCTTTAACTCTGCTATGCAGAAAGGAACCGTGGCGATCTCAATTCCTGGTGATCTCAATTTCATGAATACAGCCACTTCCTGCTCTAAGCCCCAGGTTTTGCTGAAGCCTGTGCTGAACCCCCACATGAGCTAAGCTTTGCTTGAACTCAGCACATGCTGTACTTGCAGCCCCTGCCTCTCTCCACCTGCCTGCAGAATAGCCACAGCTGACAGCTGCCTGCTCTCCCTGACAGTGCCAGTGGTGGGAGTCCTGTTTCCTTCCCTCTGGCCATGGTGGGGGGCGGGAGGGGAGGGTGTCACAGGCCAGGAAAGACAACGCCTTCTCTGGTGCTGCTGCTGACCTGCCACTGGACAACAGGGCTGCCGTGCACCCCATGCCTGAGAAGTGAGAACCCCACCACCTCCTTCACTCCAGCCCCCAACCCCGACGGTCCCCGCTGCTCACCGCATCCCTCCTGCTGGGGACAGGGGAGTGAGGATGGGAGGCTTTGGGCAGGATCTGGTGGCTCAGGGGAGGAGGAAGCTTCAGGGTGGGAGGAGCTGTTGCGTGGGGAGACTGCTGCTGGGCCCAGCACGGGGGCCAGCCCGGCTCTGGGGCTATCCTGACACGTGTGGAGGTTGCTGGACAGTGCTCAGGAGTGAGGGTAGCGGAGGCTCGGTCTGGTGCTGGGAAGGGTGGGAGGTCAGGGGAGCCAGCTGGGCTCCTCCAATCTGGGCTTTTCCTTTTAAGGGGAGGGTGAAGGGTTCAGGGCTCTGCCATGTGGGGGCGGGCTAGCAGGGGTCTGTCCGCCACCTGTGCATCTCGTGTTTGGGTAATCACAGTCACTGCTCTCCTGGGATGGCAGTAGTGCAGTCAGCACTGCGTGGGGGAAGAGAGGAGCTGAAGCAACAGAAGAAGCGGCACCGACTAGTGACGCGGCCCTGTCTGGGCCCACGATGCGGCAGCACGTACCTACAGCCTTGAGTGTGGCATATTTGGCGTAGTCCGGCGCTTGGTGGGGCATGGTGCTCGTCATCTGCAGGCGGTTGCTATGGGAATGTGGCAGGCCAACCTGGGGGGCGCTGGGGGTGCTGACCACAGCAGCGTTATTCAAGTGCATATTGTCTGGAAATGTAAAGAGAGATGCCAGGAGTAAGTTGAGAAAAAACAAAAACAAAATGGGACCAACCTTGTTGAGCAAAAAACAACAAAAAACTCACTGCGCCTTTAAATATCCCCGTGCTACCCACCCCTCACCCCCACCAGCCGCGGCAGGGGCAGAATGTCCCCACCGGCCTTCCGTCCAAGAAAAAATAGACAATACTGGACATTTTACATGTCCGGTATTTTCTTTTTTTTCTAACCGGACAGAGGCAGTGAAAACCGGACTGTCCGGGCAAAAACCAGACACCTGGCAACCCTAGCTAGGAGAGAAGGCTTAAGGGCTCTGAGCATCAGCATTTAAGGCCAGAAAGGACCATTAGGTCATCTGGCCTGTCCTCCTGGCTGTCGCAGCTCATTCAGCTTCACCCATTGCCCCAGTACTGAGACCAGGAACTTGTGCGTGGCTGCAGCACAGCTTCCAGAAAGGCCTCCAGCCTTGCTTTGAAGGCAGCAAGAGCCTGAGACTTGACTTTTCCCCCTTTCTACAGCCGGGGCCATCCCTAGGAGGATGCAGGGCCTAGGACAACCCCCTGGGCCCTGGCCCCCACCCTCCCTCTTCCTGCCCCTGCTCCACCCCCTCTATCCAAATTGCATGCCTTCCCCCAAGGCCACTCCCCTGAGCGACATGACCTGGGGAGATTACAGGGGACCTGGCACATGCAGCCGGGGTCCTCCCCCTGCATTCACCATAGCAGCAGGAAGTGCAGTGACCTGGCCCTGCCACTCTGCTACCCCAAGCCCAGGGCTCAGCTGCGTTGCTCCGTGGCTCCCGCTACCGCTGGTAAGTGCAGAGGTGGGCTTGACCCCTGCTGCTCGTACCAGGCCCCCCAGGAATCCTCCAGTCCACCTTGGGCTCCATGGGGCTCCCCAAAGCAAGGGACCCAGGGCAGCTGCACCAAACCATCCTACGGATGGGATGGCTCTGTCTCCAGCAGATTAAAGAGCCTGGGAGCACCCCGTGTGCTCTCCACAGGGAGGTGCCTGTACAGTGTACACTGATCCAGTCACATCTCCATTGTAAGCTACGCAGATAGGAACTCTTTAAGTTGCCCACTGCAAGGCATCTCCCCGCCCCCATTTAATCCTTGTCTGTTGCTCTTTTCTGCACCTTCTCCAATTTTTCACCATCCTTTCAAAGCTAACTGGTTGTGATATGCCACTGTCAGGCTCACCAGGGACAGACACAGAAGTAAAATCACCTCCCCCATGTATACGCCCAAGAAGCATAACAGTCTTTTTTGTCATGGCATCGCAACAGGAGCTCATGTGGCATCACTGGGCCACTCTGACCCCTTTTCCGGGTCCCTGATTTCCAGGATGCGGTGTCTGGCCTGCATTCCTTAGTCTTAGTTAGGGACATTTGCATTTAGCAGCATAAAAAAGCATTTTAATGTTAGAAACCCACTCCTCCCCCATTCTGGCCATCAGACTTGGATCCTTCCTTCCCTCAGCATCCCCGCACCACAGTCTCCCCTGGGTCTGCCCAGAGCAAGCTGACAGCTGTGCTGAGAGCAACCATCACCCCACGGCTACTGGAACTGGCTGCCTCGGTGGATGGATCCGGAACTTTCCATGGCTGGGTCTCTTGTCCCCAGGTCAGGAGAGGCCAAAAGCCTTTTGTGACCAACAGCTGTTTGGGGGTTGGCCCAAAGGGCGAGTTCCAATTCCAATGGGACACCCACAGCCCTGACACCACTATTCCTGTGTGCACTAACTGGCCAAGAGCCCCAACGCCGAATGGCTCCAGGAGTTGACCTCCTGGCATGCCTAGCAATGGTCCCTGGGTGCCAGGCTTGATGTGGGCGCAAAGCTAGGAGAGAGGCTGCCTGTTCAGACTTCAGTCTCCAGGGCTTTTGGTTGGGTGACAGTGGCAACTTCAGATCAAAGAGTTTCTGTACCAATGCCCCTTGTCCCCTTTAATGCGGGACACGTGCCACCAGGAAACAAAAGAGAAAACAGCCTCCCCCTCTTCCCCGAGACGGGACAGAGCTGAGCTAAACTAAAAGCCTCGATGACTTGACGGGAGGTCATTCACCAGCACTGGAACTAGCTCCAGCTGTGAAGGGGGAATCCCAGTCACCCCTGGTCTAGAAGGATGAGCTGCAGAACAGATCCCATCCCAGAAATACTCTAGCTGATGCTGGATGCTGCCCTGCAGCCATTTCTTCAAAGCTGCGCAGCCTAGCTTTAAACAACACAAGCAATGGGCCTTTCCCAGCACTGCCCCCTCCCTCCATGGGACTATTCCACTAGCACACAAACCCCACAGTTTTCCTCCCTCCTCCATGCTCCCACCCGCTGGTCTGGGTGCAGCTCATGCCCCCCGCCTGGGGGCTCCTGTAGCTTGTCCTAGCTGGATGACTGCACTGCGCTCTGACCTGTGAGCCGCAAACAACATGCTGGCTGCTGCCAGTGCAAATGTCACTTCCTATCTTTCATATAAGCAAGCAGGGAATTGTCAGCCCAGAGTGGGAGACCTCCCCCAGAGGCTGCATGGGCAGGCAGCGGAGGAGATGGGGCAGGAGGCACACATGCAATTTATGCAAGTCTCTAATGCTGCCACCCCACAGCAGAGGCGGCTGCAGCCACCACATATCCAAATGTGGATGGGGGCGCACTGG